CCTCTTCTCCAGACTAAACAGTCCCAGTTCCCTCAGCCGCTCCTCCTAAGCCCTGTGCTCCAGACCCTTCACCAGCCTTGTTGCCCTTCTCTGGACACGCTCCAGCACCTCAATGTCCTTCTTGTATTGAGGGGCCCAAAACTGGACACAGTATTCCAGGTGCGGCCTCACCAGTGCCGAGTACAGGGGCACAGTCACCTCCCTGCTCCTGCTGGCCACACTATTCCTGATACAAGCCAGGATGCTGTTGGCCTTCTTGGCCACCTGGGCACACTGCTGGCTCATGTTCAGCTGGCTGTCAATCGCAAGATTAAAAATAAAGAAACCAACAACTGACTGGATTCCGAAGCTCTATCTTTCCATTTAGCAGCACAAAGGTTGAGAGGTGTTATATCTATATAAAAATACCTATATATGAATAGATATATACTGCATATGCAAATATATATACAGATGTAGAAGAGATCTGGTGGTTTAATGAGAAACAATGGGGAATCAGGCAGATTCAACCTTGAAATCAGCAGCAGTGCTGTAGTTAGTAGTAAAACTTTAGGAGAAGAGAGCTGGTGGAATCATTTATAATCTTTTAAGATAAAATTAGGTATTTCTTTTTGTAAGCGGTACTTCAGTCAAACATCTGGGAACAATTCAATGGGTTATATAGAGAGATTACAGCTGAGTGACTGCAGTAGTCACTTCAGGCTCTAAATTATGTAAATCCATAAATAATATTAAAAAAGCCACATATGCGGATATATTTCAGAAGGACAAGTTTAGTGTCTGTTCCAGGGGCCACTGTTGTTTCCCAGTTAGGATGGCTTCACATTATGGCTTAATTACGTTTTGTTTTTACCACATTATGTTGTTAATATGCACAGTAGTTTAAACATTGTGTGTGCAGAGATACTCGGTTTCAATTTCATATATACATGGCATTTATTTGGATGGTTCCACATACTGGTAATAGAAGAACAGGTGTTCCCTCTGAGCTAATCGGGTATTCATTTATCCTGTTTTTATATAGCTAATGTATTAAGCTTCCCTGCGTGTATGTTTGTTTTCATTTCAGGCTACATTCAGGAAAACCATTACTGATAAAAATCTTTGTTTCAAACAGCACAGAGTAGGAGTGCTGAGCTGAAATTGGATTTGTGAAGTGTTTCTGTTAGAGCATCATCATTTTTATAGCACTCCAGTGAGGGACAAAGAGAGGACTTCTCAAAACATTTTTTCCAGACTTCAGACTTAAGCCTCTTAGTACTTTCTTTTCTAAAAGTTATTTCAAATATAAATGTGGTGATAAAATCGGAGCTTTCTTGAAGCTTATTACTTCTAAGTGTATTTTCATAGTTTTCAGAGTTCTGGATTGCCAGGTACCAGTTGTCAGATCTGCTCAGAACTTGGAGCTCATTCGGGGGCGGGGGGAGGGTATCAAAGCAGCCTCCCCTATCTTCTTGTTTGTTTGTAATGAGTTGACATTGACCTGGAATTGCCTGGAAAACTTCTTGTCTTGCTTCTAGTTGGAGTTGTGCCTTACACACCGGCATGGAGCTTAGAGGTGTCTGGGCATCTCCAATTTAAATGTCTGTCATTTCGGCATTTCCAACTTGATCTTGGAAATTTTAGATTCAGTGCTGATGGGTAGATTTTACTGATTTGTTGAATTGGTTTGTGGCACTTGGGTGTTCAAATTCTGCGTAATGGGGGGGCAGTGATGTACTTTCTGTGCCCAGTTTGGTGTGTGCTTCTGAAAGGGACGGTCACGGAGGGCAGCATGCAGGTGTCTTTGAGGACATAACAGGGGAGATCTGTCAGGATACAACTTTCTAGAATATCAAGAGTTCTGGTTTGCTTTACAAAAACATCATCTGGGCTTGGAGGCGTTCCTAATCAGTGGAAGGCAGAAGTTGGTATGGATCAATAGTCATTTGTGTTGGCTATGGGAGAGGAATCATCCGGGACTGTATACGCAGGCTGGCAGGGGTGTCCTGTGGCTTGATGGTCCAACAGAGCTCAGAAGAGAAATGATTCAGCTGTCCAGCTGAAGGAATTTTGGCATGCTGCTTGGGCCCAGGGATAAATACTGAATAGCTACCTTATGCCTTTCTGAGAAAAATTACTCTTTCCAGATTTGATGTAGCGTATTCCTGCCTTTGTGTGGGGCCTGTCAAAGTCTGTAAGGTACAGCTGGGCAGTTCATGCATGGAAGAACTAGAGGCTTATAAACATTAGCCACCCAGAGGCTACTGATTTAGATAAGCGCGCTCTAAATCGACACTGCATGTAAATAAGCTATCATGCCATGTTGTGGTGATTAATGTAACTGTAATGGCACACATTATCTTTTAAAATTATGATAACCTGGGGAAGTCGCTTAAAGACAACCTGTTCTGTCTGTCCTTCTTAGGAGAATATCTGCATTTTGGCTCCATATAGCTTATCTTTACTCCTAATGCTAAAAAAGGAAATGAAAGCGAGCAAACTGTATAATAGAACCACATTCTGACTTGCATTGCATGTACTCCTGCATGTTAATTTTCTTATGCAAAAAACCTGCTTTTTAGTTGCCTTGAGACTGGCCTTTTTTTAATAGGCACTCTCCAGAAATCATACTGGTTTTGTTACAAGCTCAAGATTCAGGTGTCAGCGCTGGCACTTAACTAGTTGTTGCTGAACGCTTCATACTTCTGTCATGCTGTTAAGGCCCTGGCACTAACTGCTTGAGGCTTGGTTTGACTTAGTTTAAATCTTAGAGGAATTTGTCTTAGTTAGCTTTTTGTTCTGAAAGTATGTACCTTTCCTTGCAGTTTTACTTGTGCCATAATTCAGTATTTGTTCCAGTTTCTAAACACAACAGCTGATGAATGCTTATGCTTTCTCTGATCTGTTGGTACAACTTTCATTAATTTATGTATGGTTAAGTTTGCAGAAAAATTTCTTTCTTGTTTCAAATGAAGTTTAAAGCAGGAAAAAAAAATAGCTGCGGAATGCCTTTGGTTTTGCTAGTTGCCTATTTTGGTCCAAATCCTGAGAAAGCTGGGATTTTTTAATGTGAAGCATTAACCAAAAATGCTTCAGTAAGTATTGCAGAATTCCAGATGTTTGGATCCAAGGCACCAACAGGTACATTTCCCCCTTTTTACTTGGGAATCCTTTGGGCTGTCTACCCTCTTTTGCCCTGTGCTCTAACACAGAAACAACTCTGTCCTGCTAATTCTGATCGTTTTCCTCCTCTCCCTGCTTTTTCATATCAGGGATATTAGAAGGAGGAGCTCACGAATCCTTGAGGAAAGACAAACTGTAATATGTGTGTATTCCTGGAATAGTTATTTGACTTTTCCTCATGAGACCAGAAAAGTCTTTTCCATGGAGGGGCTCTTGAGAGAAGTGAATGAGTCAGGGGAAGAGGCTGGATAAGAGAGAAAAAGAATATCCGCTAATCAGTGCTAGTAATCCCTTGGCAGGTATGCACGCAGGGCAGGCAGAGTTCCGTATCTCTCAGCACAGGCTGTCCTAAGTGCTGTATCTGTTCAGGTTGAAAGCCATGCGACTGCAAAACATGAGATGCACGGTGAAGGCTTCTATAAAAGTATGTTTTACTCTAACTGTAGTGAAATACACCCTCTTGTGGCAAGAAGAAAAAAGTCCAAGCAGAAACCCGTGTGACCTCTTTTTTTTTTTTTTTTTTTTCCCCCCCTTTCCCTTATGCTCACTGATTACTCTTACTGCCTTACTCTTCTTTTGTCTCTCCCTTGTGTTCAGTGAATATTCCTCACTGGTGTGCACCACTTGTGCTTTCCTACAGTTTTCTGTTGCTTCATCTTTGTTTAGCAGTACCTGAATCTGTTCTGTTTGTCTTGCAAATTATAAAACTTCACTCTGCCTATCTCAATCTGGTTTTATCAGTATTTGGATTGTATTCAAATGCTTGGCTTTAAAGTACCCTTTCTTAGTAAATTGCCAACATACTGAAAATATGCCTTACAGACTAACTTTAAAACATTTACAGGAGTAAAAGGCTGGAAAAATAAATAAGGATGGATACTAGTTTTGTTTCTTAAATAGCTTAGTTTGTCTGAACTACTATGAAGGGGTCATGTATAAATGGGATTAGGAGATAACATGCTGCTTTTCCCAGCTGTTTGATTAACCAACTTAGCGATGGGTCAAATGCAGTAGCAGAGTGCAAAGAAGGCGCATCACCTTCAAAGTGCAGAAAAAGCCCTACAGCGTGTTTACAGTTTATCAGATTTGCTGCATAATAAGCTGTACACTCCATTCAGCACTATAATTAACCCAGGAAAGCACTCCAGTTCAGTCTTTGCTGATAGCATGAATCTCACAAAGCCAAGCAGTCTCAGCAAAAGACCTCTAAATAAGATTAAGCAAAGCGAACCAACCGTGAAATAAAATGTAGGCTAAGTGACGAGCAAATACTATTTGTTGCTTGCATTTAGTACCAAGTTCTGTACTTGGCATGAGGTGTCCAGGCATATAATGTGTGAATAGCACTGGCAACACTTAACAAGGGCTGACAGATGAGACCTTAAGCAGATATTGTTAATGTTTTCCCTGTGCAAAAGAAAGTAACCAAGTGTTGTATGAAAACACTTGTAAATGCATGTTGATGGCATTTCCCGCAACTCCTAAATGGCCATAGCTCTCAGGCCATTGATGCCCAGCAGGATTGGGAATTACATGTTGGTGGGCTCATCTAGAACATGGTGGACAGAAATGGTGGCAGACTGGGTAATGCTGGGAAGCAGTGGAAAGAAGAAACAAAAAGACCTGGAGAAACGAAAGCCAAGGCTGGTGGTGGGTTTGTAAAGTGGCAGGTTCCTTAGACCTGTACTGTTGCTGAAGAACTTTGTCAGGCAGCAGGCAAAAAAATACTGCTTATGTGTGGAGGACAGATAGAGTAGGTATAGACAGTACAAGAGTCCTGAAATCTAGTACCTATTTTAAAAACGGATCTCATCATTCTTCCTTTCACTTTTCAGGTATCTTGCAATATCTTCAGAACTCTCCCACCTAGTGACAGCAATGAATTTGATCCAGAAGAAGATGAGCCCACCTTGGAGGCATCATGGCCACATTTACAGGTTTTTGACGATTTATCTCAGAAGAAAAGCTTATCATTGTTTAATGTGTTGAATAATTTTCGGAGCTTTTTTTTAACCTGTGAATCAGAACTAGTCTGTGAGACACTAACATTTATAAATATTGTTCATGGCTATAATATAGGACCTACAAAGACAGGAGAGTACTTTGTGAAATTTGCGAAATGTTAAAACTTTCTTTCAAAATTGTATTGATGGCATCCCTCATATTCCTGTTATCCTTCATTGATTTAGAAATTACTTTGCTTTCCAAACTGCTCTGATGCACAAGTGTTTTTCAGCAGCTTCAGCAAGAGCATCGTGGGCGATGATACTGCTAGCAGTTTTGCTTTACTGACGTAGTTAATTTTCATACAAAAATACACAGGTGCTGGCAGCTGATCAGAAAAATGAATGAGTATCTATGTCCCTATCCAAGTCTTCCTTCCTCTCCCTGGGTCGAGGTTTGCTTTCAGGTGTTTGTAGCAGGATGCGTGCTCACTGCTGTGTATCATCCCTTCCTCTGTACCTCAAGTGTCAACGCAAGGTGTTTTGAGCAAAGCACATAAATTCGTTTTGGAGAAAGAATCGTTGATGCTAATGCATTAAATTCCTTTATAGAAAATATAGATACAGATCCTGCCTGTGTTAGTCAGGACAATGATTTATACCACTAGTAAATTTAGAAGAAGTTTGCCTGAGCAACAGTTTGTGGAGTCTGGGAGTTTCTGTGAGCAAAGGAGTACGATTGATCTCAGCTTGAAATGAGGATTTTATTTGACATTTGCATGCACAATCCTTGCCTGTGAGCAGTTTGTTTCATTCTTTTGTCCTCTCAAATTTAGAATCTGTTGAAATGTAGGTTTTATCCCTCATTTATATTTAAATTTCACAAAAATAAAAATCTCGAAAGCTTCAAGGCAGCTCTGAACAGCTCTGCCTGCCTGGAAACCGCATAGGCGTACGTGTCTGTTATCTTATGTTCATTGACACTAGTGCTGTAGTTTTAAAAGTCATTATTTACATGGAAATGATGGAATTTCTTAGCCAGTGGATGATTTACTGTTGTCAGGAAGAAATGCACCAAAGTATTTGTCAGGAGTTGATGGGATTGATTTCCTGATGATTTAATATTAGTTATGTAATCTGTTGCTTTTTCCATTTCATATTTTTAAACCTCTCTCTCCCTTTTTGATTTCCTATTGTTTCCTTTTAGAAGTCAGAGAACACTGACATAAAGCAGCAGCAGCAGCAGTATTGCAGCATATTGGTGTTTGCATGGAAAAGTTTAAAATTATTTTAAAATGTAGTTTTTAGCTTCCTTTCAGTGTCAGTATCCATACTCACTGAAGTCAGAAGGGAAAAAGTTTTCATGGCTGCTCTTCTTGAAAAGGTTCAGCAAAGACAATTGTTAGCTGGTAGCTCATCTGATCAGTGACAGGTCAGAGTTGCTGTCTTACAAGGCCACAGCAGTCCCTGTTTCACTTCACTTCCTTTTTGCCTGTTTTTTATACTCTTCTTTTTCTCCACTAAATGAAAAGTCTGTTGCCGTCCCACTGAACAGTTTAGGCAGAGATGGAATTGCATGAAAGTAAGCAGGTTTTCTCCAGCCCTGAGGCTAATCTTTACAGTAAGTTAGGAACTTCGGAATAAATTCTAGTTTGTATTCACCTTCTGTGTTTCAAGTTGCAGTAGAATGCTACTCTAAGCAGTTTCTAATTTAATTTAAGTATTTCCAACTGTTTCACCAATGCTTTCAGAATTGTAATGTGTCTGTATTTGATTTGACTTCAGCAGTTCAGAGGGCAGTTTAAATGTGCTTTCCAATTACTCCAGGAAGCTTTAGAAGATGATAACAAGCATTACAAGATGGCAGTGCCTGTTCTTGGTGATGAAGTGTCTTTGACTGGAGTTAAATAAACAAAACTAACTTAAAAAGCCCATGTAATTAATTCTAACTGTAAAGAAGGAATTTGATAAAGGAGAGAAATCTTTTTCATCTTTTTAATCTTTTGCTCTGTGGACAAATAAGTATCTTATTTTCTAGCAAAAGAATTTTGGGGAAATACTTCAAACTGTAAAGAGTAATCAAGTCATAAACTCAACCATGTTTTGTTTTGTTTTTTTTTCTTTTGCAGCTTGTATATGAATTTTTCATACGATTTTTGGAAAGCCAAGAATTTCAGCCCAGCATTGCCAAAAAGTACATAGATCAGAAATTTGTATTGCAGGTAAGCTGATCTGTCTTCTTTCGGGCTTCATTTTCCTTTTGAAAAAAATTTCTTTAAAAAGATTTTGTTTAGAATTTGAAAGTAACTTTATTTGCAACAGAAAAAGGCTAAACAAGCATATACAATGAAAGTTTTCAATCTACCGAGATAGGGGAAATGCGTGTGTGTGTGTGTTTATATGTCAGTCTCTGTTACTATAGATATATGTACAATAGTTGGTTTAGCTCCAGTTTGGATACCTTAATCAAAATATTTGACTTACTGGTTATGAGAAGGAGCTGAAACGGTAACTGTTGAAAAATGAAAAGTTTACTGTCAAGTAGTCTAAAAATGCTGCTATCTAGAGAGACTACTTAAACACCAGTTTTAATGTGTCTTAATATTGTTAAAATATTTCTGTTGGAAGGGGAGAGTATTTCTCACTTCTATCTCTGCTGAAGAGCTGGCAACAGGGGCAGAAGTTCATTAACAAACCTATTCCCAGCGCAGTACTGAAAACAGCGATGCTATAGTGGTCGGGGAGGAAGTAAATCAAAAGGCCGTATGAAGTTCAAGCTCTACTAAAAGCACAGAAGAAGAAGTAGCACCAATAATAACCAACATTGGCAAAGAATGGGTAGCTTTATTTTTGTAGTTTGCTTGCCATCGTTATGGCTAAATGGAAGAGATGGCCTCTGTGGCAGTCAGCTGGTAGCCAGGTATTTTACACATACTTCATATTCCTCCTCCTTGTGTACAAGCTAGGCTTCTTGTGTGCTTTGGTACTTCACTTGATGCTACAGTAGTTGGCCGTCTTTACGGAGGTATTTTTGTCCAGGCCTTGACAGATGCCAGAACAGAGATGGCTGAAGGAAGATGTTTTCTGGGATAAGCCAGGAAACTCCACAGATAGAACTTTTGTCTTCAACTTTCAGGAATAGGCTCGTCTTGTGTTTTCTGTTCCCATTGTGAATTTTTGTATAATTGCAAAGTCAGAAAGAACGTCATGTTTAATGGTGTCTATAGCTTGCTTTTGAAATTGAGGAAATTTAGACAGATTCCTATTTACATAGAAAAGGGAGTTTCCTTGTGGGCTGAGACTTGAATAAAAGCCAAACTGCAAGTGGCAGGAGATACTCAGCATTTCTGAAGACCTTTCTCTTACCCCTTTGTCATGGAGCTTTTATTTTTCCCTGTAGTGCTCAGGCAATAAAAGTACTGCTTTTACTGTCCTTGTATGTTACTCGTATGAAGAATACCTGAAAGAGAGAGCAATTTTGATCCTTAAATTTAGAGATTCAAAGAAGGGACTTCAGTTTCCTTATTAATATCACGAGACCTTCTTCACCCTACAAAAGCAATGGGATATACTTACGTTTTTATTTTATCCATCTTCTAAATACAAGAGCGTTTTTCATCTGGATCAAACCTCTGTGGTGGAGTTTCCTTTTTGTTCACCTAAATACTGATCTGAACAAGGGGGTGTACCAATCTGATCACCCAGTACCATGGTGGAGTAACCATCCAGTACCTGGTGGAGATGTAAAAATATGCGTGGGTGTAATCACTCTTGACAGGTTTTTCCAGACTGATTTTTTTTTCTTTAGATATAGCAGGGTTGTGGTAGAAGGAGTGCTTGTGTTCAAAATCTAGAGAAAATAATTCCTAGGTGCTGCTGAACTTGGTCATGACTGGTGGCATCTCACTCACACCCTTTCAAGGCATTCAGACCTGTTACAGTTTGGCACAGGAGAATGGGTCTAAAACAAGGGGTTTGGTTTTTTTATTAGTCCTGTTAGTCTTTAATAAATTTACTAAATGAAAGAATATTATCTACTGAAAGAGGGAAATACAAGATTTTGAAACCTGCATATCTGAAAATGTATGATACGGCAATTAAGAGTTCAAAAGCATTCTGAGAATTTGTAAGTTCTTGCCACATGGTTAGGTGATGCATTTTTATATATTGCTATGCACAGCATGTCAATTTAAAATTCACATTTTTCTATAAAAAGTTCTGTTGAGCCTTATATATACATGCAAGTAGATATATTTCTGTGTGTGTAAGTGTTTGTGTTTAGCCTGTAGGAACTGGGGTGTCCTTCCACTTCTTACTGTATTTGTTGTGTGTCTAGAGTAACGCCTAAGAATCTGTGACTACAGATCACTTACATGGGAAACCAATTTGAGTCTTAGGAACATTAAGCATGTTTGGTGTTTCGTTGCAGTGACAACGCAAGTATGACAGTCTTTGAAATCAGCTTCCTCTCTAAATTAACTTTTGGGTTTTTTTTAATTTGAGGAACTTTAATGAAGTGTTTCTTGGCAGTAAAAATGCCTATATGAAAAAAACCACAGTTTTTTTAATGGGCATTTTTCAATCTTTTTCTTGTTTGCTTGCTTTTTGCTTTTGTTTTTTGAATACAGTGTGTTTCTGGCTTTCAGCTGTATGTTTTGATAAAATGCTGTACTTAACAGTATAACTGTTCATTTCTAAAGCCTGCTTATATACAGTCTGAAATGGTTGGCAGTGGTTGCTAAGAGACATACTATGCAAATATATCCACAAGTGTCTGTGTTATGTAGGTTGCTATTTTGGAAAATTTATTGCCCTTTTCTATGTATGTTTAGTGTCAGAATAATCACGTAAATTATGAAAGTCTTGCAGCTTAAAAATAAGACGTTATTGTTGAAACTTGATAGCAAATTGGACATATCAAAATAATTTTCTTTTTTTAAATTTAATTTTATTTTATTTTAAATGAGAGACTGAGTCTTAGTTCATCAATGCTTCCACAGAGGGTCTGTATAACAGAACTGGAAATATAAATATTTTGCTCCTAAAAGCAATCCAATAAGAAAATTAAAAACATAAGCATTTCCAGCTGTTTGCTGTCTTTGGGTGAAATTTGCTCTTTGGGGAAGGATGGGGTGACTATTTATTTATTTAACTGTAGAACTAATTGAACAAAGCAATGTGTTTATAACCTCTGGAGGGCAGCTGACAAACCTCATTGTTTCCTCATGAAATTCCTTACTGCAAGGAAGAGACAGTGGGATCTCATTACAAGCTACAGAAACATTCAAAACAATGAAGAAGAATTTGTACCTCAGTTCTAAACCTGGATGTTAGAAAGCAAAATCTCAGACAGCTTAACAACTTTTAATCATCTTTTTCTGTCTTTTTTTTTCTTTTTTACATCCTCAAAGTTGTGTAGCAGTTTAACAGAGATCAGGTAGTATACATACACTGACATATCTACTTATAATAGGTATTTATAATTTATCTATTTGTGAGTCCAAGATAGTTTTGTTTTCTGCCATTCCTGTAACAATTTGCTGACAGCGTCTTACACATTTGTAAGACCTCTTTGGCAAACTCTTCGTTTCTCCTGCAAGACAGGTACTGGTTGACAGTTACTTTCTTTTTCATGCAAGAGAGATACTGGTTACTTATGATTACTACCTTAAACTTCTCTGTTTTCTGTGCATTTTTTGGGGGGTTGAGGTTTTCTTGGTTTTGGTTGGTTGGTTTTGTTTGTTTTTAAATAAAGTTTACCTTCTAACTTATTCCAGATGTCCGCCAGAATAGCCAATGTTGTGGTGTCAAAAAAGATGAAGAAGAAGGGGTAGGGGAAAGCTCATACTTTTGTGGTAGAGGAATGAAGGGCAATGGAACAGAGATCTGCAGGGTGATATTCCGGCTGCTCATTTCATGCCTTAATTCTTAGAGGCAACTGCAGGTGTCAGTGTTTCGGGATTTATTTTGTACAAGACACCAGATGGCGTTCTCTTTTGACTGAGTACCACGTAATCATTTTGCTGTTTTAAAATCTTATTTAAGAGTTACTTAGTAAAGGTGGGTTTTCTGTTGTTGGGTGGTTTGTTTTGTTTTGTTTTGTTTTGTTTTGTTTTTAAACTGGATATTGAAGTTACCATTTTGTTCAACCTGGAGGATTAATTCTCCTGGTGCTTTGATTTGTGCCGATTGGTGGAGAACCTGTAACAGCAGATCCAGTGCTGGCATAGGCTTCACTGTTGAGTCTTTCCACAGCATGAAGGCCATGCAATCACTGGGAAGGCTTAAGACCTCATAATATAAATTACAAGCAATTAGAAAAATGTGACCTTGACACAATGTTGTGGGAACAAAATATTAGAGTAAATAAGGATCTTCTAGTTTTGCAGAGTGAAGGAATGGTGGATGGTAAGAGGCAAACTGTCTTATTTTGTAGATATGAGAGCATCTAAGAATTTATTTTATTTATTTTTGAGGAGAAGGAAGGCAGCAGTTTGGAGCCAGTTAATCAAAAGTTCATTAGTTGTTTGAAGATTTCCAAAGTTTTGTTATGTCAGAGGTGGAGATTAATAGACTGAGTTTCGTGACGTTGTACTGGGGTTACAACAGATTTTTTTAATACTGTATTTCTACACCTTGGGTAACGTGCATATCACATTCTTACATGCATGTGCTTTCATGAATTTAACTTTCATACAGCAGTCTGTGTGTCATATTTGTCAAATGTCTGCTGTTTCAGTTCTCTTTTTCCTTTAAACACAGCTGTTGGAGCTGTTTGACAGCGAAGACCCTCGAGAACGAGACTATCTAAAAACAGTCTTGCACAGAATTTATGGCAAGTTTCTGGGTCTTAGAGCATTTATCCGAAAACAGATTAATAATATTTTTCTACGGTAAGTTGTGGGAGAAGGTACTTTTTGCTTATGAACATTTTAGGAAACCGATATATTACTTATATTTAACTTTTCTTTTTTTAGATTTGTTTATGAAACTGAACACTTCAATGGTGTAGCTGAACTGTTGGAAATTTTAGGAAGGTAAACGAGTCTATTTATTATCTATCTCAAACTTCCCTTCTGGACACATTAGAATAGTGTTGGATTTGGAAAAAGTATTACTGTAAGCCCTGATTCTGAAAACAGATGTGCACACATGCTCCTCTTTAAGCCCATGTGCAAATCTCTGTCACATCTTTGCCAAGAGTATATAACTGGATGCAAGTTACAGCCAGTGTTGGATTGAATTTGTGTGTGTGTGTATGTGTGTGTTAAATTTTGTGCACTTTTACATGCTGCAGAATTTTTTTTTTTTTTTTTTTTTTGTGAGCACACTAACTGTGAATATTTTGAGTAAATCTAATTCTGGTAAGTTAATTACTCAAGAACACCTTGCTTACATGAATTTACAGACCACATAGACAAGGTCTTATCTGTTTGGCAACAGGTTTGTGCAGCTGTTTGTATGATTATTCCTCAGTCAGAGCTGAATTGCTAGCTAGATATGTACTGCACTGCTAATATAAAGCAGGACAAAAGGCAGCACCTGTTTACAAATGGCATAAGCCTGCTATTTGTAAGCAGGTGCTGACTGTTAAATTATTTTATTCTAGAAAGTGCTTGTGCAGACCTCAAGAATGTTTTCTGTGATGGTAACACTAACAAATATTTCTCTTCTAATTTCTAGTATTATCAATGGTTTTGCTTTACCTCTTAAGGCAGAGCATAAACAGTTTCTGGTGAAGGTGCTGATCCCTTTACATACTGTCAGGAGTTTATCACTCTTCCATGCACAGGTAGAAATTATAAAAATATTTTCTGCTCAGTTAGAATGATTCTTATTTTTTAAGGTGGCTTTGGAAATTTAATGGCATAGCACAAAAAAGGTGGGGGGAAGGTTTTGAAATGTGGAAAAAAAGCAATAGATTTTTTAAAATTAATTTAATATGCTTTGTATGATAAATGTCTTGCCTCTCTTCTGATTAGATAATTAGAAGTGTAATATACATCTGTAATATTTTGGGGATTCTTTTTTAGTAGTTAAACTCTTTAGGTTTTTGTCTTTGCTATTTTCTCATTCTCACAAGTTTGCCTTTCCCATTTGCTCTCCCAAGAGGATGTTTGGGTTTCCTTAGTCTTGTGCTGTCAAGGCTCTTCTTCACCCTAGCAACTTTCTGAATACTAATACCCACATTTTTGCATAATTGTTAACATTCTCCCTCGCAGATTTCTTAATACTGCATTTATGCTCTCATATATCTTTTTATACATTCAGCTTTCATGACGTAATTTTTCCCCTCATAAGTGATACAAGTTGCCTTTCTCTCTGATATTCAGATAGTGCAGTCTTTCTTATGCTGATAAAGCTGTGCTTTCTAAATATGTTATTCCAGGTTTTAGCGTGTGTGGGCTCATCTTGCAAGAGTTTTCATGATTTTGCTAACGTATAAAATGTGTAAAAAGAAGCCGTTTCAGAGAGTAACAAGCTTCAAAACTTTGGTTGTATGACTGTATTTAGAATTCCAAGTTGCTCTGATTTTTATTGTATATGCTACTTTGTCACCCTAATTTTTTTTGTAATGTGTTCTGTTGTTTCTCATGAACTGAACTGTGAGTAGATTTGCACAATGCAAACTATGCATCTCAGTTGGATGCAGTTTGAGAAAGCTGTATAGCATCTTGTCTTGAGTCTTTTTAAAAATTGTTTCTTTGTGGTTTCTTTATGGAAGTGTTCTAACTTCATTGTCTTAAATCATTACCTCTTCACAGCTGGCATATTGCATAGTACAGTTTCTGGAGAAAGACCCCTCACTCACAGAACCAGTAAATATTTATTTCTTCTTCTTCTTTTTTTTTTTTTTTTTTTTTTTAATAATCATAAACAGCTTACCCTCTTGAGAGAAAAGTAAAAAAATCTAACTTTTTTTTCCTTCTAATTTAGGTCATTAGAGGTTTAATGAAATTCTGGCCAAAAACCTGCAGTCAGAAAGAGGTAAGTAATAAGCTAGTGCTAACAAAACATAAGAGTTCTGTTGTTCTACAATATAATAGGCAGGGAATCTTCAGATATTTCCAGGTAGATAGCACATGCTGTGGTGGATCTTGGTATTAATTCTCGTAAGTGACTTTCCTGTACTTGAATTCTGGTTTTTTTGGACCGTTTTGACTATGAAGAGAAAAGTTTGTTAATGGTGGTTTCTGTTCACAAAATAAGCACTTGTTCTTCTGCAGAGAATTTATTTTTGTTTTAGAAAGGAGAAAGTAAAGATAGTTGAGGATAAATTGGAAAACTCTGTTAGATTTGGAATTGTTTATATGTGAGGATAGTATTTTCCCAGGGAGGATAAAAGATATTTTATTGTCTGGTGTTTACCTACTACACATGTAAAAGATGCAGTTAGACATTTGCATTTTTATTTCAAACTCTTGATGCAAATCTGAGTTTCCCTAATGAGATTTTGTTACACAGCAAAACCATTATTTTGAATATTGCTTCCAAAAATGAGGTAAAATTAAGAGACTTTCCTTAGTTAACAAAGTTTAAGCCTTGGCCAAATTCTTTGTCTGTATGAGGCTAGGTTTTCAGCGTGGATATACCGGTGCAGTTCTGAATTTTGTTGTAAAGGTCTACTTTAAATACAGTATTCGTGCACACTCATCCTCCTTCTGTTGAGACTGAATCCAGAAGCTGCAAAAGGTAGAATTGATCACAGTTTCTGAGAGAGGGTCTTGCTGAGCTAGTGAGGCTTCCATTTCTCCCTGAAGTGGTAGAATTTGAGGGTTACCAGCATTTTGCTGACCAAGATGATTCAGAGGTTTTATATTCAACACTTCCTTCCTTGTCTTTAGGTCATGTTCCTAGGAGAGCTGGAGGAAATCTTGGATGTAATTGAACCATCACAATTTGTCAAAATCCAGGAACCCTTGTTTAAACAAATTGCCAAGTGTGTCTCTAGCCCTCATTTTCAGGTCAGTGGTAGAGGTTATTGTTTGTATAGGAATGTATAGTCTCAATTTCAGACATAACACACCCCCCCACCCCCCCCTCCAAATATGAGTATTATTTTAAGTTGTGTGGTTTTAAATACTTGTCTTCTGATTTCTACGGACGAGGGTATGTTTCAGTGGAAGCTTATTTCTGAGCTCCATGAATAACTTGTTAGATGTATCTGGGGTCACAGCACAGAACTGGCCGTTCTGAGCCACATAAGGCCTTAAACTGGATCCAAGCAAATTTTGAATGGCCTTCAGACTGATAGAACACGCAGGATGTATTTGCTCCCTTTTTTAGCACAGTATTGTGCAGCATTCTTGTTTTCCGACTTACTTCCTTCTCTAAGGAGGTGTCTGCTTACAGGTGATATGACCCATAGCCTGTTTTCTTCAGATTGCTTAACGGAAAGAAGGGGAGTGGATAGGGTTTAAATTGAGTAATACGTGAAGAGGAGATAGGATTCATGGCCTGTAGTGTCTCCGTATTAAGCTAGGTGACCTATCCTGGCACAAAGGAATACATAACTGTTTTGGGCTCCTCTTTGGACTACATTTGGTTTTAGCATAATTTAGATCAGTGTTTTCCCTCTTACCCCTGCCCTGAGCTCCTCCCCAAGTTGACTGTCATCACTGGTACCTTCCCCACACTTAAGATCTCTCCTCCCTTGTTCAGCCCAGCTACTGGGCCTTTCCCTGTCTCCTTCCTCTGATATCCCAGCACTGCTCTCTCTCTTCCTTCCGACTGCAGTCACAGGATTGAGGGAAAGGGGCGATAGGAAGTCTGTCTGCTCTCCCTTCCCCTCCACAGCTGCAGCATTAATGCAGTGTCTGCACCTGGTCTTCAGTGAGTAACAACATATTGCTCAGGGGAAAGAGAGAGTTGATGCTGGGGGATCTGAATTAGAGGATAAAAACTTAATTCCATTAATGCATGTTATGCTACTGATTAAAGTAGAGTTTTAATTCCATACTTAATGATTCCTGTTAATTCATCTTTGTGAAATTTCTCTGTGATTTGTTTTTCCTTCAGAAAATTACAAAATTACATGTGTCTGAATTCCTGTTAATATTTTATTCCTTTGACTCAAAGGTGGCCGAAAGAGCGCTGTATTATTGGAATAATGAATACATCATGAGTTTGATAGAGGAGAATTCAAATGTTATACTTCCCATCATGTTTTCCAGCCTTTATAGGATTTCTAAAGAACACTGGAATCCGTAAGTTTCTGTGCCATTGCACTTTATCTTACTATTTGACATACCACTGATAAACTTAGGGAATGTCTGCTGAAGAACATCTGAATGGGAGAGATCCACATTCAAAGCTGGCTTGAGCAGGTGCAATGCTGTTAATGCCAATATAAATTAGACTATACTTGAGCTTGCCTCAAAATGTTTTTAATTATCTGGTATATGTACAAAAATCAGTAGCTTATGGGATAAAAATAGACCTTCTCACAAGTTGGAAAAAAGAGAAATTAGATGTTACATTGTTATTGAAGAAAAAGTGTTGCTCATCAAGCATTTCTCCTACACAGCTTTTTATAAACTGGTTTAACGTCTTAAGCCTGGTCGTAAATTGTTTAGAGAATATCGCTCGACATTAATAAAGCTTTGTGGCTGTATCATGGCTGATACTGATACCTCTGGTAGACCTCTGGCACTGGCATTTTTCTAAACAGCTATGAAGCGTATAGACATCAGTATATTCTTAGGTTGGGTTGTTTTTCTAAATTTATTTAAATACAGCTGTTCTCCATTACACACAGTAGTAGAGCAGTTGCTTCATATTGATATCCTCTTAATTCAGCATTTTTATTTTTGAACTGAGTGACCTAGTAGAAAGTGTTTTAATGAAAAATACTATTACAGTTAGATGCCATGTATTCTATACTTCATTTGAAAAGTTTTTCTAAGTCAAGATGGTTACCATTTAGTAAACACATTATTTTTAATGAGCTGTGGTACTGTCCCAGTTGCTTTAAGACCTTACTGTAAAGTATTTGTAAAATATTTCTTCTTTTCAAACATTAGTCTTTTTGTTCTGTACCTAGCCAGGCCCTCAAGTTTGTGTGCTTACATGACAAATGTAATGCTACTGGAAAACTTCTGTAACTTATACTGGTCACAAAAAGACACTTTCCATGGCATAGTACTGCATTACCAATCTCCAAGCTGCCCGTGCTCCTGCCCAACCTTTTATACTATGCAGTGGGATGCTTCTGGTAATGAGAATATTCCAGTATCCAGTTCACAGAGTTCTCATATCTGCAGGAATTTTGTACCTTTGACGCACAAGCCAGGTTAAGATACATGTAAAATAAAGAAGGTATTTAAAGAATTTTTATGTTTATAAGAACATTTTTAAACATAGGCAACAAAAATGAAAGTTTATTGAAAGAGGTGGATGATAGACAGGGGTGCGTGGGAAATGACATGTGGTTTGTCCTCTGTATAGGTTAGCTCCAAAGGTTCCTGGCGCCTGTAATGTTGATTCACTGCCTCCTGGCCCAAGAGCTGCTTCTGAATGTGACAGCCATAGTAGTGGCTCAGGAACTGGGATCTCTTGATTGATAGTCTGTTCCAAATTATTTGAAAGTTTTTTTTTTTTTTTTAGATTTGTGTCGTGGTTTAGCCCCAGCCAGCAACTAAGCACCACGCAGCCGCTTGCTCACTCCCCCTGCCCCAGTGGGATGGGGGAGAGAATCGGAGGAGTAAGAGTGAGAAACACTCCTGGGTTGAGATAAGAACAGTTTAATAATTGAAACAAAATAAAGTACAACAGTAGTAGTAATAATAACAATATAATAACAACAACAACAATAATAATAATATACAAAGCCAGCGATGCACAATGCAATTGCTCTCCACCTGCCAACCGATACCCAGCCAGTTCCCGAGCAGCAATCGCTGCCCCCGGGCCAACTCCCCCCAGCTTATATACTGAGCATGACATCCTATGGTATGGAATAGCCCTTTGGCCAGTTTGGGTCAGCTGTCCTGGCTGTGCCCCCTCCCAGCTTCTTGTGCGCCTGGCAGAGCATGGGAAGCTGAAAAGTCCTTGACTAGCATAAGCAGTACTTAGCAACAACTAAAACATCAGTGTGTTATCAGCATTCTTCTCCTACTAAATCCAAAACACAGCACTATGCCCGCTACTAGGAAGAAAATTAACTCTATACCAGCTGAAACCAGGACAATTTGTTTCTTTCCTTTCTCCCTTTTCAGTTGCTTTGTTGTTTCTTTATCTTGAACTCTGCCAGAAAGGGAGTTTGACCTCTAGATAATCAGACTATTGGCAGACCCATCTTACTTTGGAAATTCTAGTATATTTTAGGTTAGTTACCCAGTCAGATGGTATAAAAGAGTAAACTGATTTTACCTTTTTTGAACATTTGTGGTACAGAATGCCTTTGAAGCCTTTTTGAAATTATTATTATACATAATTTCTTCCTGTATGAACAGATCATGCCTGTCATGTTTTATGCAATTGAACAACTTGAATTCAAATAAGCAGTGGTGTATTGGCTCTCGGGTAAGGTCAGGAACAGCAATAAGCAAAGTAGGCAGAGGTGAGAGAGATAGATTAAAAAAATACTTTTTTTTTAATATATCTATACACACACACAAAGTTTTACACAGATACTGCAGCACTCATCCGAAGGATTTGTGGGGTTTAAGAGTTTTTTGCTGTACCAAAGTGAAAATGAATATGAAATATATGAGTACAAGGAAATCACCCTTGAAATACAGCCTTGTATTTTGGATAGATGCACTGAATATTCAGCTTCATAGAAAAATCATGAGGAAATATGAATCGCTCCCATTTCATGTTTAAATTCTGTTCCTTCTGCCAGCATTGATGATTTGAATCCCTGGAGTTGCATTCGGAATTGCTCCACAGCATGAGGGAAGAGTCTGTAGTTAGATGTAATAGCTTTCTGTTGTTACCTGTTACCCTAGAGTTTTGGTTTTCTCCATTTAAGTAGTCAGTAGAGACATGAAAGCTGATTCTCAACTTTAAAGATGTTAATCAAAAGTAGTTTCACTGAAATCAAAGAATTTACATTATCATACTTGCAAGAGCAGAATTGGTCGCAGAAATGCCGGTAAGAGAAGACATTTTTATTTCACATTTGATTTTGCCTGAAACTAATAGACTCCTTTCTTTTTTCATGTTTCACAGGGCTATTGTGGCTTTAGTCTACAATGTGTTGAAGGCATTTATGGAAATGAACAGCACCATGTTTGACGAGCTGACAGCCACTTACAAGTCAGATCGTCAGCGGTAACTTTTTAAAGCTTTTTTTGTCAGCTGTGCATAAGGCCTGCTGCTTAGTTTTTCCCTTACCTCAGATGCAATTGCATAGTCTCGCACATAACAGACAAAATGCCTCATTTCCCCCCTTGCATGCTCTTAGCTTTCTCCTTGCAAGATGTAAGATAATATCATGTACAGGTTGTTCTTTACCCCTTATGCAATACAGTACCCATTGCGTTGCTTGGGAATCCGCATTTCTCATGGAATTCCTTTTGACTCCACATTCCAAAAGACTTAGATGTATCAAGATCTTCAATAATAAAAGAAAAACAAGGATTTAAAGGTAACACTTTGCTTAAAGACTTCAAAAAAAGTTCCACTGAGGTTTGGAAAGAGACATAAGGGAAAACCCTAAGGTCTGATTTTCCAAACTACTGTTCATAGGCTAGATGTGGTCTTAAAGCAAAGAGGCATCTCTCAACCCTTTCATTTCTTATTCAGAGGTCTTGCTGTATCTGAGTCTTTTAGCATGCAGGATCCATCAGATACACCACTCATACAATCCTTAGTTCTACCCTAATAAAATGCTTTTCGTCTTTTCTCCTGTTCTCCTTAGTCTTCATTTTCCGATTACAGTGCAGCATCTTTTCTCAAAAGTTTCAGTTTATCCAAAGTGTCAGGTGAAAAAAATGAGGAAACTTCAGGAACTCTGAACAATTTGCAACTTCATTTAAGTTACGTGTTTTCTGTGACTCAGGGTTCCCCCAAGCAAAGCAAAGGGTACTGTATTGTCGTCAGACCTTGTTAGGTTAGTATAGTCTCTGAAGTCTCTTGGACGCTATGTTTTTTGAATTGTGTGACTGGAGTCACACTGCCCTTCTGTTCTGCTTCCTCGCTGTAAAATACAAAGTTTTATACATAAAAAATATACACTTAACGGGTTAGTTCATTAATACAGTATTTTACTTTTAGAGGCTTGCATATATATTTGAGCTAAGACGCCAGATGAATTCTAGGTAGGTGTTGATAAGTAAGGCTCAATCTGCTAGTGCAGTTGAGACAACACTGTGCAGCTTTCTCGCAGAAAGGGCAGAGAATCTTAGGACTGCTCATCTAATCCAGCCATTTACTGAAGGAGCTTGGTGACTTAAACGAATTTGTGATTGCACTTTTCCCCCTTAAGATGAAAAACTCCGCTCTTACCAGGACCAGACATTGTAGTAGGATGTCCCGTGTCTGGATAATGAGTGAGGTTTATTGACTGAACTGCACAAAGAATTTTTCTTGGACCTAATGACATTGTATGTCCTCTCAGAGCTGGTGCTAACCATTTCACCATTTTTATTTACTACTTAGAATTTTAAAACATGTAAATACCTGAATGTATAAACTGGGATATTTACCTTAATGTTTACAGAAAATCTTTAGCATCTTAATAAAACGGCATTTCAAAAGGGTAGCTTTGATACCACTTAAAGCTTGAGGAGAAATACGTTCAATATTAATGACTATGATAGGTCAAATAGGTAAGTTGGATGAGGTGATCATCCTCTAACAGTCTTTAGGTAAGCAGGCATATATTTCATAATGATTAGAAGATAAGTATCGGTAAGTAGCCTGAAAATGTCAGGCTATTTCACTTATATTTAATTTTAAATACTTTCTAGTGACAGTGGACTCTTTCTTTCTTTTTTTTTTTTCTTCTTTTTTTCTTTTTTCTTCCTTTTTTTTTTTCCTTTCCTGTTCAGGGATTTATCTGAAAGTTGTTTGTATTTTAGTATGTTTCAAAGACTCTTGGTATATTAAAATTTCAAATCAATGAGCCAGATGTTGGCATTTTGACTGAATCAAGATGTGTAGGAATGTTTCTAATCTGCTGAAATATTTTTCAAGAATTCTCTAATGTGACTGGCAGAGAATCTGTCTCTCTATAATTGTTAGATTTCCTTTTCATCTGAACCTACAAGGTGATTTAATAGAAACTGAAAGCATTTTGTACCTTGCAGTATCAAGGAGATTTAAAGTAAGCTATGGCAGAGAGAGGAAATTTAGAAAGCAAATAATGCAGGTAAAGCAAATGTTAGGTTAGCTGTTTAATTTTATCAAATCAGCCATTAAAGTCTGTTGTTAAAGCAAATGCTACATAGATCTTCTTGTAAATCTTGTAGGAATTTGGTAAGGAAAAAAAGTAAATCACTGAAAAAAAGACACATCTTGTAATTTGAACTTTCCCTTGGCTGGTGCCTAAGCTATGTGAAAGCCACCAGTCAATGCAAGCAAGAACAGTGATTCTAAAAGGATAAAGGAATGCTTGTTCTAGAAAGTGGCTGTTATTTATAAGATTAGAAAATACCTTGCTTAAATAAATAAACTTGAAAATAATTAAATGCAAGTTAGTCCTGAAATGTTAATTTTATAAGAATGATATATTTGTCCCATAATAAAAGTCCACTGCATTTTTTTCTTCTGTATTACAAATTAGTGTCTATGAACACTGTCACATTGTTCAGCTTACGTTGTATGTTCTTTTCCTACTGCTTTGTTTAGTGATATTTATGTAGGTAACAAAAATTTAAAAAGAAAAAAATATTTTCAAAAATTAAATGTGTGTTAGGAAAATTGCAGTTATGCTCAGCAAAATTAGTGCTGCTCATTAATGTCACCTACATATTTTTTAACATAAATATTGTACAGTCTTCTCCCCTGCTAACTCTTTGTTTTATCTCATCTGTCAGTGAGAAGAAGAAAGAGAAAGAGCGTGAAGAACTGTGGAAAAAACTGGAGGATTTGGAATTAAAGAGAGGTCTTAGACGTGATGGAATAATTCCAACTTAACAAAAAAACAAAACAGCATTATTAACCTGTGGAGTCACACATTTATGTAGTAGAAGATGGAGCAACAGTTTTCTGTATTGTGCAACTTTACAGTAGATTTCACATTTGTTTCATTATTACAACAGCACTGTATATACCTGTCTCTAAGTAAAGGAAAAAAATAAGGACTTTAATCCAAAGTTTGGACAGCAGATGGACTTCTCAGAACTTTGCAAACATAGTCATTGTTTTAACCCTTCTTTAAAACCAGTCTTCAAAGATCTGTTGATGAAAATTGCGATGTCAAATTCCATTGTCAGGACCTGTTCCTTATTTATCGTTAGCAGAGAGTGTAATACGACTTTCAAATGTGAACAATCTTAAAATTTAGCTTGTCTTTCTGCTAAACTGTTAAGTGTATTTATAGTAAAAGAGAAAAAAGGCTGTCATTTCCTTATGAGTTTGTGTAACATCCTCCTTCTCTGGATAACTTTACTGTAATTTGACTTTTTTTCCTTTTGCACATCTTCATAAGTTGAATGTCCATTCAGATCAGGGCCATGAAAAACATAGGTCCTGAATAAAAGTTCTGTTTACTGGTGTGAGCATTTTTTTAGTACCAGGCTGTCTCTGGTGCTTCCTTAATTTGAACGTTAGGAGTTAAAAAACAAGTAGGTGATAAACATAGTAGGAAAGGGAGCTTTGGATTCATGCACCTATTTATTGCAAATCCAAATTAGTGTCCACAATCCTTTAAAAACGGGCAGTAGTAACACCCTGGACTTCAGTACCTAACCAGTATTAGTGGTATGGCATTGGACACACATACTGGAGTTGTTTTAGAAATACTAATTGCTAAATTATTATGGTATGTTTTTATTGGACCATTTTGAAACAATAAAGACAAATGCTAAACAGTGCAAGCATGAAATTGATCTCCAGTGTCATGGATCTAATTGGAAATTGAGTTGAGATGGCAGTTTGGACTGTTTGGAGTTGTTGCCTTACTTTTTAATATGTATTTATGAAGTGTTCCGGCAAAAGAGGATGTAGCCTCTAAGAAACGTATTATAGTGGTTTTGTGGTTCTAGTACTATTACTCATCACAGTACCAGCCCTATGGTCTTAGCTGGAAAGGATTCTGGATAATATACTTCTGCATTCTCATCTGGATGCTCATTCCTAACTACTGTATTTGTTACCAAAAGTGGTTCTACAAATGCTACTGAAAAAAATTCTGGAAATCCTAATGTTCTGAGTATTAATAATAAAGTTTAAAATGCTTTTATATCAAAGGTGCATTGTGACCAAATTGTTTAAAACAAAAGAAAAAAAAATACAAAAACAAAGAAGAGGGCTGTATTATAAGTATACATTATTGGCTATCTGCTTTGTATTTGAAAGTGGAATCTTACATCTTTGGTAGGTAAAATGCTGATAAGACTTATGTACAGTATATATTTAGCTAATGCAGTTGCATTATTATATACCGAAAGGTATGTGTTTCAGGATTTTTCTCCAGGATGCTTTTGAACTGTTATAGACATATGACAACAGTGAATTGATAATCCTAAACCATCAATCCAGCAGTATTTACAGTATAAAACTGAATTGTTGTTCATGAGTCTTTGTGATAGTTGCAAACATGAATTTATGACCTGTTGCCATTGATAGAAATACAGTATAAATACAAGCTTGTATATTTTTCTTCCTACCATTTAAATATACAGTAGAATTTGAAGTTTTCATGTTTTCTGGCACGGAAAAGAGGTAAAAAAGAATTCCCTCCTAGACTACTGACTGTTTCAGGATTATCAGGTCACAGTTTGTACTCCTGGGTCTGCGCACACAAATGTTGTAAACGCAACGATTTTGTAAAAACTTGACACTGTTAATTCTGGGAAAAAAAAGCGGAACTAGTCATATGCAACACCAAACACAACATGGTTTAATGGGATTAATATGAGCTTCTTTTAAGAACACTGGCTGGGACGCAATGTAAAGCAGGCAGTTACTGTCATAGTTGAAACATTTTATTTTAAAGTGCTGAGCAAAGGTGCAAGCTGAAATACTGAAGATTAAATAAATTTATAACGAAACATGTCCCTTAGCCCATTGATTTTGACAGTCTTTTATTTCTGTTACCAAAAAAGATTTGCTAGTGTGATTTCTGTGTGAAATGATGATGCTTTACAAGAGGGTGGACTTAAACTCATGCTTAAAGACTATGTTCAATTGTGAAAAACTGAGATAGAATGGAGGCAAAAAGATTCATGTTTTCCACCTGGTGGAGTAAAACACAACAATGTGAAATTAGAAAAAGCACCTTGTCCTGTACTTAGAGTTTAGGTGAGTGTTGTTTGTTCATAACTATTTTTGGTTTTGACATGACTTTCTGGTATTGATCATACAAAACTGATGAGAACCTAATGGGTTGCAATATTTTGTTACCTCTGATGTTACCTCTGATGTGGGGATAGTGGGGAGTATCTAAAGTTTATAGATGATTTATCACTTCCGAGAAGGAATGTTTCGTTAAAGTGAATGAGACGATGTGATATTAGTCACTTGACTCTAAAAGGCTGATACGACACTAGGTTGCACTGTGTGATGTACGAGAAGAAGCACTTGCCACAATGATACGACCGTACCCCCGGGATCCACTGTTTGCTGCAATCCAAATGCGATGTCCTGCCGCTCTGCAGAGCTCCCATTGGTATCAGTTGGAGTTGTAGGCAAAGAAGAAGGCAGCGTATGGGCCCAAGTGTGATCAGTGCGTCTATTTAATTATGCTTTCATTTGCTTCTTGAGTTCCAGAAACTACCTTTATTTGTGTAAATGTTTTTATTAACTGCTTGTACAGCAGTTGTTGGGTGGTCGCTCGTGTCCTGTACCATATTGGTTTCAGGAGAAAGGATTGAATGCTCTCTGGTAACAGGAAAGAGCTGCGTTTTCAATACTAGGGCATTGCATCGGGTCATGGGGATATAATAACTGTAAAAGTAAAGTTCCTCTCATATACTTTAAATCGAGCACATATTGCTTTCTTCATTTTGCAAGTCTCCCTTATTGTTTTCCTTTCATTGCTTTTGAGTGGTTTTTGTCTCTCTTCCAAAGGTTGGAATGCTTTAAATAAAAGTATTCTAATGCCATTGGAGCGTTCACTAGCAGGGTTACAGCAAATTTAATCTTGGTTTTGTTAGCATAAATAAAAGGATATAATTTATTTTTTTTATCCTCTCCTATATTTGGAAAAATCGAGGGTGTTAGAGCCAAGAATTGCTTGAGTAAGAAATGCAGCAGCTGTACTTACATTATACGCGCGTAAGTGCAGCCTCAGGCTCTCTCACTCTATGGAAAGGAAAACGTATTAGGAGCTTAAAAAACCTCTTTATTGTTTTGTGAGGAGAGGGAAAGACTAGATTCTTCTCCCCCCAGGTAAAACTGAAATAATTTGCTTTTAGTTCTGTCTTGGAAAACTAAGATGGCCTTTTCTCTTAATTGTGTAACCATACCATCCCAAAGCAGTTGCCCTGAAATAAGACAAAAGTGACAATGTGCAAGATTGAAGAATGTTTTTATTTACATGTGGCTTTTTTATTTTGGCTCACCTGCTTCCCTCAGCAGCTCTGGAGTGAGCCGCGAATTAAGTTTTTCTAGTTGGTATGTGCAGCAGATTTTGTATAGCCCAGTTTTTCGTTTTGAAGTCTATGAAACAGTATCTTGAATCAGAATGGAACTAACTTTGATTGAAAACTGTTATCCAAGTGTTGCTTCCCATCCACAGAAGCATACACTTTTTATCATGACCTCTCTGAATACAAGTTTTTGTTATTTGGATCACTTACTGTAAATATGTTGTATTCATAACCTCATGTAATGATGAGGAGTTTTCAAATATAAATAGTACTGATACATTTCTTGTTGTTGTCCTATTTTTGATTGTAGTATAGCGAATGACCTGTCATGCTTTTTTGTTTCAAGGTTAGCATTAGATTCATAGATCTTAATATTTTAGCATTTCATTGTTTAAGCAGGAGAGGGCAGCAAAAGTTCATTTTTCCCCATAGGAATGCTCTGGTCCATTACTGTTTTTAAACTTAGATGCATCTAACTATCTGTGGGTAGGGGGGAAAAATGAAACATTTTTTATATCTATTAAAAGGTGCATATGAAAATATATAGACTGGTCCAACCAGACTCTGAAAATGTCTTCTACTCTACATCAAAGTAATAATAAAAGAAAAATACCTTCCACCTCTGGATAAAGTACAAGCAGGTCTTAAGCTCTTGGATTCAAATGTCATTCTTTGGAAATAATTTACTTTCTTAAAAATGGTATCAAAGAAACTCGAACTCAATGGTGCTCCCAGCTATAAATGTGTAATCTTCCTCCTTTGCACATGCTCAAGAGGCTCTGTACTGTGGGTGCATCTAAATAAAGAAGCAATGAAGTGTTTTCCAGGTGCTTGGCTTTTTTTTCCACCTCCTCCCGTCTAAACTTCATGTACCTTTTCAACAGCGGACTTCCAGTGATCTGATACCCATTCGCATGTATTAAATGTAAGGACACTTGTCTGAGGGAAAAAAAACCCGAACAACGAGGTGGTAATTTAAGTTTCTGCCAGAATTACCATAGTAAATGCTCAGTTTTCATTAAGGTTTGCTTTTTTTTTTTAAGGTCTTCTCATGATGATGAGCATCCTCGTACTGCACGCAGCCGTGCCTGTGAGGGAGGTAGAGCAGTGGATACAGAAAAGAGGCATTAGAGCCACACAATGTTCTTTATAAACCCTTTGAGCCTTACACTTCGCAGCTGGTGAAGGAACTTGTTCTTTTGTAGCATCGTTCTACTCTTTCAGTCCTCGTGCTGCTCTGCCTTGCAGTTTGGAAGCAAAGAGAAAGGCTTAAGGCTGTTACGTACGTGGGAAACACCCTCTGGAGACAGCCATGGATAGAGCCTGCTAAGGGGCAATGCTGGTCAACAGCTTTAGCAGAAGCACAGTAGGTACGGATGCTGCAATAAAACTGGAGAGAAGATGTATTGAACATCTCATTTTAAAATATCAGTTTCTTATGTGAATTATTCCAGTAGCCTAATTCATAAAAATTCTTTCCGTTTTGATTTTTTCCAAATTAAATTTTCAGCAGTTGGATCTGGCGTGCCTTTGTCAGAAGAGCTCATTATCACAAATCTCTTTAAATACTTGTAAGGCAATCTTCAGATCACTTAACAGCCTCATGTCTCTTTACTTTCTTATTGCAAGGCAGATATTTTCCAAAGAAGTAAAAAAAAAAAAAACAAACCCAACAAAGAACGTGCAGTAAGTTGGCCTTCAGGGTAGGATTTGTCTTCAGTATTTGCAAGTTAGAAAACAACCTTTAAAGGATTGGAATTAAAAACTTAAATTAGTTTCCTGCTTTTGGTAATGATAATTGCTTTGCTAATTTTTCATCCTTGTCTTTCCTTCTCAGGAATGTTTTCGTCTCACATAATAGCAGAGCACCTAGTTTATCTTACATTAAATTTGGACCCCAGATCACAAGTCTGTGGCCTACAAAAGTAGTTTTGTGTGCAGGTAAAAACTGTTCCCAAGTCTGTATTCAATTATTGCTTCAATGTACAGTAAAGTAATAGCTTGGGTGTTAAACTAGAAACTGGTACAAGGTCTTACATTATGATTTCGGAGCTATCTATGGTTTTAAAGATTAAATGCTGAAGCCAAAGCCAATATCCTGAATTTGTTAGTAAATCCCTTGAAAGAAAGTGTACCAGCCCACTGTGAGTAGTGACTGCAGGCTTTTCTGGAAGTCTCCATCACATGAAAAACTGTCACATGGAAACTTTATCTTTTACTGTTTTTCTGTTGTTGTCATCGTGTCCCCCCCCCTTAGTTTTGTCTATTCAGTGCTCCCACCCCTGAAATCACTGAAGGTGTGAGAAGTTAGGGATCACTTGGGAAGGATGGAAAGCTTGCGGTACATTTAGAAACGTGTTTTGTATTGCTGGACAGTTGCTCATACCTCTGATACACACTTGAAAATGTCTGGAAACTTCTCTTGCATTATCCCTGAATCTGGGAAGGTCTTCCAAAAAGAGAATGAGAAAGGGATACTCTATACAGTTTCTGAATCTTGTTTTCAAAATTCTTACTTTGTCACCACCTGGGACAAGTTTTTGCCTGTGTACAAAGCCTCTGCACTTCACCGATGGAGAAAGCAGCAGTATTTAGAGAGCATCTGGCTAGTGGCGTGGTGCAGTGAGGACACGTATGCCAACCTGCCAGCCAAAGCA